CGATTCGAGAAAATCCTTCTACTAATTTTCGGTAATATCCTGCCAATCCCAAAAAACTTCGAACTTCAGTCACATTACTTGGTTGTTTCCGATTAACAATGGTTTCAACCTTTGAAGCATCAACTGATATACCTTCCTTTGATATGACATGCCCTAAAAATGTCACTTGTTCAAGCCAAAATTCACATTTATTAAGTTTGGCATACAATTTCTTCTCTCTTAATATTTGCAATACCATTCTTACATGCTGCTCATGTTCCTGCTGATTTATGGAATAAATTAAAATATCATCAATGAATACCACAATAAATTTGTCCGAAAAGGGCTTAAAGATCCAATTCATCATATCTATAAATGCAGCCGGTACATTGGTTAATCCAAAAGGCATGACTAAAAATTCATAATGATCATACCTTGTTTTGAAAGCTTGGGAACATCTTCACTTTTAATCTTAAGATGATGGTATCCAGATCTAAGGTCAATTTTTTAAAATACTTGTGATCCGTGTAATTGATCAAATAAATCATCAATTATAGGTAATGGATACTTATTTTTCACTATCACTTGGTTCAACTGCCTATAATCGATACACAATCTCATGATCCCATCTTTCTTTTTAACAAACAATACCGGAGCACCCCAAGGTGACACACTGGGCCTGATAAAACCTTTATCTAATAATTCTTCCAATTGTTGTTTAAGTTCTGCAGCTGCCATTCTGTAAGGTGCCTTAGAAATTGGGGCCACCCCTGACAATAATTCAATAGAGAATTCAATTTCCCTGTCAGGAGGTAATCCTGGCAATTCTTCAGGAAAAACGTCGGGAAATTTTCGGATAACCGTAGTGGTATCCAAATTTATCTCTTCCTTCCTATTTTATTTGATATAAGCAAGAAAGCCTTGACACCCTTTACGAAAGAGATACATGAGAATAAATATGATGGGGAGTCTTCTTTGATACCATTGAAGTAAAATACTGGTTGATTCGAAATACTAAAGGTAACCATTTTCTTAGAACAATCAATACTTGCATGGTATGCAGAAAGCCAATCAATGCCTAAGATTACATCAAAATCTTGAATTTTCAGGAGTATTAAATCAACCAACAGTTCTTTTTCTTCTATCTTTATTACACATGATTTGTACACTATATTGGTGTTAATTGAATTTCCCATCGGTGTGGCTACCTCTAGAATGTATTCTAATTGTTCTGGTTCTACCTTTAAGTGGCATGCAAAGTGTAATAACACAAATGAATGAGTAGATCCAGGATCAATCATAACATGAGCTACTTTTTGGAAGATAATAAGAGTACCTTGGATCACTGATTTTGAGGCCTGAGCGTCTTGCTCGGTGATCGCAAATACTCTTCCCTTCATCTAAGGCTTTTGAGCTCTCTCTCCCTACTTTGGAAGCAGTTGCATTTGTAAGCTAGGACATTGTCTAATCTGGTGTCCCAATTTTTCATATTTAAAACAGGCTCCGGTATTCCAATAACAAGGGCTGGATCCATGGCTTTTCCTATATTTTTTACATGGTTCTATTTGGCTCTGAAGTGGTAAGGGCCTTGGCTTCTTGTTTGCCCTTTCAAACTGTTGTCGATTAGATGGTGTGGGTCTAACATGGCTTTTCTGATTTTTCGTCTTTTGGTAATCTTCAAAATCTTTTTCGACAATTTGGGCTCGATCCACTATTTCAGCATAAGTTCTCAATTTCAAGACTGATATCCTGCTTCTGATAGCTGGCCTGAGACCCCTTTCAAATTTTTTCACCTTTTTTGCCTCATTGTTAATCATATGTGGTGCAAACCTAGCCAATTTAGTAAACTTGGCCTCGCACTGTGCTACATCCGGTTTCCTTGGATTAATTCCAGAAATTCCAGTTCTTTTTGGTCTCAAATAAAATCTAGGAAATACTTTTCATTAAATGTCTCTAGAAATACTTCCCAAATCAATGGTTTATTTTCTTTAACCAGTACTCCTTTTGTCATTCACCACTAATGTTGTGCTTCTCCTTCTAACATAAAAACTGCCAAGGCCACCTTCCTATCATCAGGACATTCCATTACCTCGAATATTTTCTCCAATTGCATAATCCATCCCTCGGCTTCTAGTGGGTTTACAGTACCCTTAAAAGAAGGTGGGTTCAATTTCTTAAATTGTTCGATATCACTCCCACCATTTCCCGTAACTGACTGCCTGGGTGGATTGTTGTTTTCCATCTGATGTTGCATTAGAGCAACCAAACTTTCTAAAGCTTGGTGAATTCCTTCTATAATAGCTTCAACTATTCTAGATCTTGACTTCTTCCCAGTCTGTACACGCAATAAATGCGATTTTAAGTATATTCTTTTTTTTTTTTTAATTTCCTAAGAATCTTAAACCTATTGCTCTAATACCATAATTGTCACACCTTAAGAATTTACAATACTGATATTGCTGAGATGTGACAGTCAAAACATATATACATCTCTTGATAGGACAAATTTACAGTGGCGAATTCTTACAAAGTAACAAAAGAAAGCTTAGGCACAACTACAATATCTTCCAAAGTTGCCCTTGACGAGTACTCAAAATGAAACCGCAGTTATCTTGAAAAATGTTTACCATAATTTGATGAGTTTGGCTACTCAGTAAGTGGTCATCATAATCCTAAAAATAATCATATGATTGAAAGATATCAATATTTTAAAAAATGAGATCTATTAACAGGAATGCATTAACAGTTTCACTTTAAAAAATGTATAATTAAGTATAATCCGAATAATTGAAATGCATATCACATTTTAACATCAATGTATAATTCAAAAGATTTCACAAAATACCTTACTGGCGTCTCCAGTAGGTCACCTATATACCCCATCAGCGTCCTGATGGGTCCATTTAACCCCTATCGACGTCCCAGATAGGTCCACTTAATCCCTATCAGCGTCCCAGATAGGTCCACTTAATCCCTGCAGGTCCACTTATACCTCACCGACGTACCGGATGAGTCCACTTAATCTCTACCGACATCCCGGATAGGTCCACTTATACCTCACCAGCGAACCGGATGAGTCCACTTACATACTTAAAGTATATCTAAATCTCTTTAAACATTCGAAAGCAGCAATATCATGTACTCAACATATCACTGAAATCATTAATATGAATTTCACTGAAACCATTAATAACAGTCACTTTTAATAACATTTCAAAAATAACCAATCAGATATTTTGGGCTCAAATTTAGAAAAGTAGCAGTTCGTAAAGACATTCTAACATAATTGCCAATCTAATATGTATAGAAAACTTTTTATAGAAATTCAAGAATATGGAATCATCACAATTTATGGGATGTCAATTCGCAAATAAATATTTCACAAACAAAGCTATAATTAATTGTAAAAAGATCAGTTTTCAAATAATAAGGCAGTCATTTGCACATGAAATATTCAAAAACAGTAGAAAGAATCTCACAATTTTAGTAAAAACAGAAATATCACATTTATTTCTAATAATTTTACAGTATCTAAAATTTTCTAACAATAGACAAGAAAAATAAATAAATTTATTTCTAAGAATTTACAGTATTTAAAATTTCTAACATAGATAAAATATCACAATTCTATTAAAAAGATTATTTTTCGAGACAATGAGGTTGCTTACGCATAAAATTTATCGCTCCTAAAATTCGTGATAATAAGCAAAAGTAATTATTTCATTTTATTTTTTTTAAAAAAATGAATTATTTTTCAAGATAATGAGTTCACTTACCTAAAATATTTTGAGAGGGAGCTTCCGATAAAAATTCGGCTAGAGTGAGAGAGACCTCTAAAAATTCCACTTAAACGTAAAAGCTTTAAGTCCCAAGCAACCAAGGGAGCGTGTTAAAGGGGCAGGTACAACGTTAACAAAAGTGGTGATGGTCCCTAATGACCATCATACTTATATGGACCATCATTTATAAAAGTTTTTTTTTTCTCTTTTTTTTATTTATTTTTTATTTTTTTTTGAAATTTTAGGATTATTACAGTGTAGGACTTGACTTTTTTATAGATCCATGCCAAATTTAATGGTGATCATTTGGGGTCCTACATACATTGGTGGATGAGGGTCCTATTAGATCATTTCTCATAATTTTAATACGGTGAATTTTAAATTTTAGTGGGGTTAACATTTTGTAACAATACACTTTCGAAAGGATGTGGTTAGCATGAGTTTGCAACCTTAAAAAATCCAATTAAGGCTCCAAATTTTATCATAAATATATGAAAATCTTAAAAATGGATAATTTAGATAAGGGAAAAGTTTATATAGGCTCTAAGCAATCAAATTTGAGCCTACCTCAAAAAATTTACTAGAAGAGGTTGTTTTGATGCCCAAATATCTTCAAATTGATCATCTTGACATCAAGACACATGGACATAAGAAAAAAATGGATTTCAAGTTTTGAAAATAGTATATTTTATAACGCATTTTTTTATCATCAATTTTAAAAAAATTTGAAGTTTTCATAGATTTATTGATCTACACTATTTTTAAAACTTTAAACCTTATAAATAAATATAAAAATAAATTTTAAAGCTATTACAGTGATTTTCAATATTGAAACCTAGACACTACTCTAATTTGATTGTTTAGAGCCTAGGCTCCTATACAAACGGCACCTTTTAGATAATGTATTTGTATTTCAAAAACATTATTTCTAAAACTCAAAATCTTTTCCTTTTTTATATTCATAGATCTCCATGTCGAGATAAGCAATTAGAAGTAAAACGACATTTTCCACTGGATTTTTGAGGTGAAATCTTAATTCTTCGACCTCGATATACGCACTAGTAGAGAGAAACAGGGGGCTTCCATAAATCTGTAGAGACAGAGAAGCATCAGTGGATTGATAGAGAGAGAGAGAAGCATCAGTGGAGAGAGGGAGTAATGGGAGAGATGAAGGGGAAGGGGAAGTAGGGGCGGAAGCGTCATCTTTCTGGTCAAGGTTTTGGGAGGAGAAGAAGGAGTTTTGGGGAGAGAGGTTCGCTTTCCTGGAGAGCTACAAGAAGATCTTTGGCCGAGACACGCCCCTCCCGAGCTGGTCTGATGCCGATGTTCAGGAATTTGTTGACTCAGATCCGCTCTATGGACCTCAGGTTCTTTGCCCTCTCTTTCTTTCTCTATCGCTCTATCATCAGCCTCCCTCTCTCTTTCTCTCCCCCTTCTTAGATATTCAATACTTCTTTTCAACTCCCCTATTTATTTTGCTCTTCATTCTTGTGTTACTTTTTTTTTTTTGCGAAATTTTTTCTCTCCCCCTTCTTAAATATTCAATGCTTATTTTCAGCTTCCTTATTTATTTTTCTCTTCATTCTTGTGTTACTTTTTTTTTTTGCGAAATTTTAATTGGAGTGGATTGCTTGGTTGGGTTTTTGATTTTTTTTTTGGGAAATTTATCGCATTTGAATTTGAGTGGGTTGCTCTGGTTCAGTTTTGAATTAGGATTCTTTTCCCTCTCTCTCTTTAGACTCTCCCTGGTCTCTCTCTTTCCCTCTATTAGATATTCAGTACTTATTTTCAGTTCACTTATCTGTTTCTCTCTTCCTTTTTTTTTCTTATTTTTTGTGAAAATTTTAATTGGAGTAGGTTGTTTCGTTGGGTTTTTGCATTTTTATTTTTTATTTTTTGGAATTGATATTTAAATGTGTTGGCATGGACGATGTAACCCCTCTTTCTCACACACATAAATGGATTTTTAGTACTGTAATCCAGTACTTGCATTTGTTTTCCTCTCATTTATGCATGTTTCTGTTTTATAGGAAATTTTTGTGATTTAAGGGAATAAGTTACATTTGGATTTGAGTAGATTTCTCTGGATCAGTTTTGAATTAGGGTTTGTTTTTTGGAAATTGATCATTCTCTCTCTCTCTCACTCTCATTTTTAATGCATCAATTCAGTGGTTGGTTTTGTTTTTTGGCTATCGGTTTGTTTTCATAGAAATTTGAGTGTTCCAAGAGAATTTATTGCACTTTGATTAGAGTAGATTACTCTCTTTCAGTCTTGAATTACGTACTTTCAGGGAAGTGATCTTTGACATGATTGAAATGGATGATGTGACCTTTCTCTCTCACACACATAAACTCACTTTGTTGTTACTAAAAATCTCTATTTACTTAATTTTTTGCATTTACGTTTTTTCTTTTGCCCTTTTTCCTTTTTGGAACTTCTCTTGATTAAAGGTAATTCATTTGTATTTGGATTGGAATATGTTGCTTTGGTTCAGTTCTGAATTAGGATTCCTTTGGAGTTGATCCTTGAATTGTATTGTCATAAATCATGTAGCTTCAGTTAAGTTAATTGTTCTTTTTCACTTTCTATTTGTTTTTGTGGAAATTGGGGTTGTTCATCATCATCATGGGAACTTTTTCCCAACTATTTGGGCTGCCATTCTACTCGATCAAATACTCTCATTGAGGCTATAAGGCCCCATATCTTTTCTCACTACTTCCAACCATGTCTTTTTGGGGCTACCCCGTGCCTTTTTTGAGCCTTCCACATAAACCAACCCGCACCTCCTAATAGGTATCATACTAGGTTTGCGTCGTGTATGGCCAACTCACCAAAGTCTACTTTCTCTCATCTATCGCCTATTGGAGCCACATATAAGGGAATTTATTGCATTTTGAATAAGAGTAGATTGCCCTAGTCTATTTGTGAATTTGGTTTTTTCTAGGGTTAGAAAATTGGGATTGGGAATTTTTCTTTCTTGTATGTTTTAATTTTGAGCCTTATTGTATGTTATTTTTAGTTATATGATGATTTCTCTGCAATTATTAGGGTGCGCTAAGGGTCACACACAAAACTCTCTCTCTCTCTCTCTCTCTCCCTCTCTTATGCACACGCCAGTCGCACACCCACACACTCTTTAGCTATTGGGCATTGAAAACCATATGATCATTTTGCATCATATGTTAAATATTTCTAAAATTTTGTAATTTTCATTATGCAACATTTTCTAATTTCTCTGTACTTATTTTTATTGAAATTATTTTAGCCATTTTATTGTTCTAGCCAAATTCTATTTTTGATGTCTACTTCTCTCTCTCTCATTTTATTCCAATATTATATGGTAGAGTAATCTTTCAACTATGTGAATGCTTTTTCCTTGGAGACTGAGCCACTATATGTGGTCTCTATGATTATCCAGTGCTTTCTTATAAAATGTTTCTTTGTCTACTCATACTTGGTAACTCTATGTGTTTGTTTTCATCTCATCCTAACCTCCAAAATATTGTGTCTATAACACCTATTTATTATCTTCATTAAGATGTTCAATTTTTTTAGTAGTTGTTAAGTGGTTCAAATTTAAATTGCTTATTTAGCTAGTTACTTAATAATTGTATTTTCTTCAGCTGAAGAGCGCAAGGCAAGCAGCCAAGATAGCGGCCACTGGAAGTCTTATTGGAGCAGTGTCCACGGCTGGGGTTGCTTGGAAATATTCAAAAAGTCCACATGGTAATTTTCTAGCTGTATATTTGTGTCCCATAAAAATTTGTATGCAAATATTGTTATTATTTTAGAACCTCCTTGTTTCTCATTCTTATTCCAAAATAAAAATAAAAATAAAAATCAATGTTTTCGTTTATTTGTATGGTTTGCTTTCCAGATTTTGGCAGCTCGGCTTATGATGATGACTGAAATGAAAGCTGAAACTCACAATTAATAGGACCTTATTGTGGGAAAATTAGTCATTAGTTAATGATAATCACAAGAAAATCTCTCTTTCTATGTTTAGAGATGCTAATGATGAAGTATGTTCTCTTTCTTGAGAGTAAATAACGGGGGTGGTGGAGCTCTCTCTTGTTGGGTACTCTTTCTATTGTTGGATACTCTTTTGATTGGGAATTACATTCTTTCCCCTTGTAGCTGTCTACTTGTATTTGTTTTGTACCTCCCCTCCAGGTTCTTGTCTCTTCTATTTTCTTTCATCTCGTTCTCTTTCTTTTTTGTTTTTGGTTATGCGGTTTGGGGTTTGGTTTCATGCTGCCTGCAACTTGATATGTACTCCCACGTTCTCTTTCAAATAAATCCTACAAGAAGTGTATGCAGTATGAGAAGCCTTTTTCTTTTTTGTGTTAAGTATTCTTTATTACATGGATCACGAGATTAGACCCTGTTTGGATACCACTAGATTGTTACAAATGTATACCAATTGTGCGATCAAGAAAGATTTCCAAACAAATAAGAGGAGATTTTTTCTAAAGTAATCATTCATTTGAAATTTAGTTGTGCTTTCTTCTAGTCATACTTTTGAGACTCCAAATATTTTGGATAGTTCTCATTGGTTCCATAGAATTAATGCTTTATAGACGCACAACAACTAATGGCTATAAAACCCCTTCATAGAGAATTTGATGTTGTTAAAATGAGAAATGCAGTTGGAAGATGAGGATGCTTAGGCTTCTTATTTAAAGGCTTCATTAGGATAGCTGCTCAAATTGGAACTTAAGTGGATCTTATTTGGGCTGAAAAATGTGAATTCAGATGTGTTTGGACGCTACTTACTTTGTGCTACATGTGGGTGCCGCGGCCATTTTATCTGGTGAATTGTGCCATATTAAACTCCAGTGACAATTTGGTTCAACCAGATTCCATTCTGCCAATCATTCTCTGGAGTGGCATTTTTCAATGGGACCCCGCTTATTCAGTATCCCTATTGCATGGTCTTAGACATTATATATGACTCTAACCTTGCCTCTGTTTCTGTAGACCTTTTAGTACTTTGTAAATTTAACGAGTTATTCTCTTAAGCCGTTATCTTTGCTTAAGGTGTTATATTTGGTTTGGCTGCAAAAACATATCTTTTTGAGACAGTCCATATTTATTTTTATAATCTCCAATTCCCAATGATGACTTCATGACTCACTTTGTTCTACTTAATATCTTACTTGAGTCACTTTGTTTCAGTGTGAATCTGAATCACAAAAGCAAAACGACATTTGTTTAGTACTCTTTTTTGTGCAAGGAGCATATTTACCTGAAATTTGGGAATGGCAGTTTCAAGATTGCTTAGGGTCTACTTCTCAAAAAAAAAGGAAAAAAAGATTGCTTAGGGTCTACCCACTCCCTTCTCAGCGGTTTACTTTCTCCTTCTTCCCCCTCTTCAGCCACAATGGGTAATGGCATAATAATTTAAAGTGGCAATTACAGCTTGTGAGGGGCACATGCCTCTTAATTTAATCATATATTATAATTTAGTACTGTTGACATTCCTCAAAAAAACAACTCCTTTCTTTTGAGATGCATAATGAGCTTATTTCTTCGCCAACATAAGCAGGTTGTTGCATTTTTTTAAGAATGATGTGATATTTTTAATACTGGAAAACATTACACTTAGGGTCACTGCCCCAGGCCTTTCCAATTAAATCTATAATTCTTTATTTGTACCCTCAGAATTCAGTGGCCTCATTTTATAGCTCAGCATCAATTCCTTTGAGACTCTTAGAGACTTAAGACTCTATGCCCCCCCAATGTAAAGAAAATTTCTCTCTCTCTCTCTCTCATCTTCTTCTTTTCTCCCCCAGTAGAAGTTGTCCAATCAATTTGCTTTCAAGTATTCTAGAACTCAAAAGGGGATGAAAGCATTATAATAATGTGTTTCATGAATTGCTGTAATTCATGGACTAAGACAATGGACATATGTTAGATGGATTTGTTGTGGAACTTGCAATTTTGTTATCTTGTGCTAGTAGGATATGATAAGCCCCAAACTACCTGAGAACAATGATTAGGTTCGGAAGTTGGGTTTGTCAAAGTAGAGGTTATAACATTAAACTCTAGAGCTATTGTTGCTGTTTTGGTGTCATTGTGTTATATTCTTGATGATTTGCTGTATCTAGAATGTAGCCTCATGAAAAATTTTCAATCTCTATTTAAGACAATAATGTGTAATTGCTGTAGTTCATGGAATAAGACGATGGACATTTGTTAGATGGATTTGTTGTGGTACTTGCAATTTGTTTATCTTGTGCTAGTAGGATATGATAAGCCCCAGACTACTATGATTAGGGTCGGAAGTTGGGTTTGTCAAAGTTGAGGTTATAACATTAAACTCTAGAGCTATTGTTGCTGTTTTGGTGTCAGTGTGTTATATTCTTGATGATTTGCTGTATCTAGAATGTAGCCTCATGAAAAATTTTCAATCTCAATTCTCTTAAATAATATACCTTTGAAGTTATTGTCCTTGATTTGGCAATGACATTCAAAATACTGCTAAATGGAAATTTAAGTTGAATCATGAATGCAGATGACTATAATATTTATATAATCCCAGATAACCAAAATGCATGACTTTCAGGAAATGAACAACAGAAGGATTAGATAGAATTTACATGCACATTGTTTGGCTGCAAAGCATGAATTCCCAAATCCAGCTAGAGAGTTTACTTGTGGTCACATGAATAATTTTTTTTTGCAATAAGCATCATTAGTTAAAAAATATGATAACAAAAGGAAAACTCTTCCCAACGCCTATAGGCGAAAATGAACAATGATTTTGTCTACCCTCATCACCATCCAAATTTCATCGTACGGTTACAGTTGTTTGGTAGTGTTTCAATTTTCATTTTGTTTCTATAAATCCAAATTACTTGAAATTTAGAGTGTGTGTACATCTTAGTGAGGTGCACTTAATAAAAATATGTAAAAAATAATTCACAAAATATA